TGCTTTTATTTTTTGTGTTGCCCACCATTACCTGCGCTCATTTGAAACCCAAAACCAACTTAGAAGGTCCACTGCTTTTGTGAACTTCGCACTGGACTGTTGCAATAATAATTACCCAAAGCACCACTTTAACGCTTTGGCATTTTATTACCTCGATGTATTCAGCATTTTCCGCTTTAATGTCCATTATAGTAAAAGTGAACAGCTTAAATGGGAAAGGGAGCTTACAGGTCACGCAAACGGTGGCTCCCATCAAAGCGCCAATTTTATGCAATAGTCTTTTGGCCCCTCTCGAATAATTTTAGCAATGCACCAAACGCGCACATTTTAAACCATCAGACTAAACCTTATATTTTTGATACAGAACAGTTAAAGCCTATAAACGAAGACTCTCAGCGTAGCATCGTTCACCTTGCTAAAATGGGATGCCATTAAATGGTGGATTAACGACTGACTTGATCTCCAAGCCACTTTCATATGAAAAAAATTGCAAGTTGCATAGGAACAGATTTACTTTAGTGTTGTTATGATAGGCACAATAAAGATATCGAGCTTGCCTTAACACATGTTTAATGTGGTGTACTTTTTATGAGGCAAGTGATCTGCTCAAATCAGCCCTTTAGCTGAAAAGATTACACGAAGCAGATGAACCCTACCATATCGACACAAGTAGGAGGTGTCACTACATGTTTTGGATGCAGAACCATTACATGAATGAGACACAAATTGATTTTTACCTTAATGGTGGGTGTCGATTACTTTAACATAAATTTGTTGGTAATATGATTTTTTATTCTCCCAGGTTCGACCACTATTTTAGCAGCATTGGTTTTGAGAGCATTTCCAACTTTGTGTAGGCTCGCACCACTTGCAGAATATTGCCTTTGATAATCCCATGAAACGTAATAAAAGTGGTGAAGTAAAGTAGCATCTAAAAGAACGCAAGTATATAAAAAATCAAAGGGACAAGCAGCCCATACGTGTGAAACATCCATTCTCAAAACAACTGTGATGATTAAGGGAAACAAAAGAAAGAACTGTTGACGACTCACAGGCGAGAAAATCAGAACAGCGATAACAACACACTACCTTCTAAAGTAAGGTGCTAGACGGTTTCTTCTACTATAAAATATGACTAAAGTAAAAATTAGTGTTCATTTGCATTTTTAATACTTTGTTGATTCGACTGCCCACACGAATACGAGCCTTCTTGCATCCACCTTATTTTTGATAAATGGGTTAAACTTTGGGACATGCCAAATCCCATCTTTTCATTTGTCTCAGGAAATAGCTATTCAACCTTGCCTTATGCTTTCACTTACAAAACGGGAAATTTTGGCGCGCTACATCGATGGCATTGGAAGGCAAACCCGAATTCGAATAAGTTTTATTTTTGGTATCAACATTTGCAACAAACTTTGAAGTGAAAATAAAGTGCATATGCTTTAAGTTAGAAAAGCTCTACATTTCCAACCACAGAGAGGCTGAGTGTTGCTTTTCTTCAGGTTGAATCTCATTCCCGCAATTCACCGTCAGGATAGTAACAGGTGAAGTGGTATCATCTTAAACATATTCAAGAATAATTTTAAAGCTTCCATGACTCTGTCCCCCCATAAAAGTCGACATTATAGAAATGCATCAATCCACCCCACATTGCCGGAGATAAATCCTTTGCTCCCTATTGGCAATCGGTATTAGATCTGTGTGTAATGCTCTATTTATGTGACTACCTGACGTTCGGCGATCACTTTGGAATTTGTCCGGACACTGTGCACGTGGGCCCACCTTCTGGCCACGCTCAGGCTCCATATGCCCTGTCGTCTTCGGAATTCATGTACTTAACCTCACTTATGCCTTCTCCCACCCTATGTGAAGCCTCGGGACACTACAATGTGTTCTAAAATCCAGCCATAGAGGCTATTTTAACACAAGACCCCAATTAAGGTTTCTGTTATGAGGCAGAACATTGTACACATTTAAAAACAGTGAAGGAGTTGTTTATATAAATCCAGTCTCGAGTGAACTGATGACTGAAACTGCCTGATCGCGCAACACCGAATACGTGGTGAAGGCAGGCGTGGAAGTTGTAACGAGAGAAGTACCATGGAATTCGTTCACAAGAGAAGACAATGCAATATTTTGCTTATTCCACTGCCTGCCGATTCTACAATCCTGAGCTTGCTGGTTGGACTGACATTCGGACAATGCGTTATAAGTGCCCGGCTGGCAAAATCAGGTAAAGTTCTAACAATATGGCTTAATATGGCGAAATGAATTTATTCTGTTCATATTCTTTCAGCGCCACAGCAGACTCATATAGATTCACTTTTTGCATAACATAATATAATATTATTTATAAACGTCGATTGCAAATTCACTGTATACATGCATTATGTGTTAAGTTTTAAGAAATAAAATTTCTTAGGAAGGGTAAATTGTTTAGCCGCGATTTTCGGAAATCATTCGATGGGCTTAGAATCCGTAGTGTACTTTCGGGTGTTTGTGTGTGCGGCTGTAAGTCGAGTGATGCATCGCTAGCTAATAAGAGCATTGTTATTCTTTCATTATTTGGCTTGTAATAATTTTGCTGATGGTTTTACCAATGCTAAAGTGTAACTGTGCAGTCCAGTCAAGTTAACACGTGAATTGACATCCAAAATTTTGCATCTTGATATTAGTCGCATTTTTTATTGTACATGAGTAAATTGAATTCATTTGCTCAACTTCATCCTAATCAAGTCGTATGTGGCTGCAGTACTCCATTTGGGTATGGTTAGGGAGCTCCAACTGTCGAATCATGTGGGATTGCGTGATATTGTCCTTGGACTTAGCAAGATATTGTGCCTTTGGTAACTGTTCTTTTCTCCTAGAATACCTAGTACAATGGAGGTCGAATCCCAAGTACTCAAAGCCTTTAGTGAACCGGACAATCTCGATCTTCTTTCCCGTACAATCGTAGATGGTCACCTGTGTGTTTGCTTTACTCGCACATCTTTTCATCTTTAATCCATTTATTTTCGGACTTCTAGGTCAGGATCATCCCAGTGCTTCCTCATCCGCTTCTCTTCTCTCTCTTGACCCTCATCTTCCCATTTCGGACGGTCAGCGGATCAGACGTAGCTATTCAGCTGGTCATCTGATTGTTACAGTTCGTGTCTCATGTGCCGCCGTGATTCACCAACATGCATTCCATACTCCTGCTCCTTCATCAGGCAACCATCCTGATTCATCCATCGGTGATGGTGACGATGACTGTAACGATGCAAATGATGCGTCTCCTAGCCTGCAGTATGAACGCTTCGGTGAAAGCTCTCTTGGCGAAGGTGTAGTTTCTATTGAAGGAATAAATTGTGTCACAGGGGACTTATAGGCCGAAACTTTCTTGCCATAGACACTCTTCTCAATCATATGTCTATACCCCGGCGACGGGAGTTTTCCGAACAATTCCGTGACTTGGCGCAGCTCCATCGGCAAGTTGATGTCCCACGTGCCAAATGGGATGACGCATCCCGCCTCTTTCCCAAACAGTTTGGGCTTCCGCCTTCTGTGGCACTCAGCATCTGGTGAGTTCGTATTTATTTTGAAGTCATTTTACGGGACATCACTGCGGTTTGGCTACGGTTGGTCATTGGTATCTCTGTTCCACAAAATCATCTATTTCACTGGTCACCCAACTATAAGCAATTTGTGAATTTATAAAGCTTTGTTTCGTCATTACTTGAGGCGTGCAAATAGGGTCTGAAATCCCAAATGTGCTGCAGTTTGTGAATGCGTTAAAGTACTGATTTCGATCTTGCATGAAGGGCTAGGTGAGTTAAACTTCGGATTCTGGTCATAAAGAGATCCCTGATCGACATTTATGGGGACTGTTGGTGGTGCTCGAAATATTTGTGTAAATTCTTCTTAGAATATAATATATATATCAAGCCAATAGCGATTAATACTAGGTATACCCATAAACTTTGCTCCAACTTAAGAGAAACGGTAAATTTTAACCATAACCACTAGTGAACGTGTCGGTTGCGTTCGACAAGGTGAGAAAAGTGGGAAAGCTGCATGCTATTTCGGAAATCGAAGGCACATGTACATTATTCTTAGGTTAGGGTTTCATTAGATTTGGCAGCATATTATCTTCGCGATCATGATTGCGGTCTTATAACACATATTCCAGATGAGAACTATTACATTTCGTTTTAATCGAGTTCGTTTGATTTAAAACAAATTCTTTCATTTGCGATCCTTATCATCTGTATCCGAGATTGATTACCGAGAAGTTAATTAAACCAACCGTCTCCTTGAACTAAACTAAACGTTGTTTTTCAAACAGTTATAATCAATAGCTATTTGCGGGTCAGTAAGTTCTATATTCACGAGATTGAAAGAACATTGTTCAAATTTGGTAGGGATTCTGTTCGATTACTTGAATTAGTCGTATCGGTTAAGAATCTTGTTCTTTGTTGATCATCGCGTTGAGCATAATGAAGAAAATGTTCATGTTATTCTTTTCGCCTTATAACATATACTTGGGAGCTGCATTGCGGCTTTAATTCTTGGTTTTGGATTCATGTTTCCTCTGTTGAACACAAATAAATTAGCGATGCTCTGTATTTGTAAATCCCTCAAAAGTTTGCCGATTTATTTTGATTTACTTCCCTTATTTCGCCGCAAATAGTGAATGAAAAGAGGGGCTTGAAAAGCCCTTCCATTGTAGCCTAATTTGCGCCTCGTAAAATGAGTTATGGCGTGACCGTTCGAATAAGCTTGGTACTAAATGAAATACCTTTGCGATGCTGGGAAATAAATGCGATCAAACTTGATTTTACGTAACGATATCTATCGCTGTAATAGATTACGTATACCCTGGTTCAAAGTAGGTTGACTTTGATTATTTTCATAGTAATCTCCATTCTTTGAAGGCAAATTTGGGCAGATTTTGGTGACTCAAAACTCTAAAGTCCTCCTTGTAGTGTTGCACTCTACTACTATGTTCGTGCGATCCCATAACTTGTGAGATTCTGGTCTCAAAGGAAGCGTCTCTTTCGGATGAGTGAATTGAAATGCGTTGCGAGGATGTGTAAAAATTTGCATAAAATACTGGGATCTAATGAGTGAAGAAAGTGCTCGAAAGTGAAATCCCCACAACATTTGCCGCGAAATGTCGGAAGAATGCCAAATGTTTGATTCAGTACATTTTAGTAGGGTTTGATGTTATATGGTCATCGGTTTAATAAAGAATGAAACTAGACAACGCTTATTTTACGTGGAACCATTCACCAGCAACGTTTAAAGTCGCCGCCGTGCGACTATATTATGTCCATAGTTTGTGGTGTTTAAACTATCGTACTAGGATAACAGGCCGAATGGGGCCAAACACACGAAACTTATGCAGTCTCGATCAAGGGAAAGGCGCAAGTGCACATTACAACTGTGGTTTCGGGAGATTAAAAAAGTGTTCATCGTAATAACTTGTTTGCAAATATCATATTTGAGTATAAAGCGTTACTCGTGTTTTTACAATGTAGATGTTTTGCAATAGCTTCGTTTGTGTCAGCTTGAATGGCAAAGGAGAATTTTTTTATTTCTATGGAGATAAACAGCTGTCCTTAACGATTCCTAACATTCGTTGTAGTTTTTTTCCAAAAATTGTTTCTAAAATATTTTGAACTAATTAGCGCTTTAACCTACGCTGTGGCCTTAACGTTCAAGCATGAAAAAAAGTGCCGTTGAAAAATTGCATATTGCCATTCAATTTTTTTTGCAGAAGTCCAAAATTTGTTTTCATTTTGTCGCATCTTAACTCTTATGCGAACTCCTCATAATGACTGAATTATAAGCACTGCATTTAGGACGACTTAGGCAGCAGTTTAAGCGCCTTCTATTTCAAGCTGCTAGCATTCATCGCTAATCTACCATGATGTTTAACTTGCAGATGTATGGGTTGCACGTGATAGTTTACATGATCCCCCTAGTAAAACGTGAGCAGTTGTGATGGTACTTTAAACGTCGCTATCATAAAATATTGGCTAATTAAACCAGACCATTGTGACTTGAGTTTCGATGATATTTAAAGCTTCCCGTATGGCCCCTTGTGCTACATTCGAGAATGTATACTAAAGAGAGTTACACTGTTATTACAAGTTTTGCGCCACATGGGATTTGCCTTCTAGGATGGGCGGAATTTGTTCGTATTAGTTATATATCTAGTTGTTGTGCGTGAATAATGTCACGAAACGAGAATAGTTGGCCAAATCTAGGTTTTTGGCCTCTGGGAACCAGAAAATTACTTTTAGCTTATCTTGTTAGCTTGGAAATGTTGGTGAATTGAGACCATTTCAACAAATGAGGTCTTAGGATAAGAAGAAGCCTTTATTTGTTTACTTGAGCTAATGACGTAGAGAGCCTAGACTTCTGTAGCATTGAGTTAAACATAGTACTCAAATGTTGTAAATGTAGCCGTTGCCCTATTATGCTCATGCTCTCTTGCTCAGCATTCCCTTTGATCACGCCAGGAATGTAGTTCTCGTGTTACTCGTAATTCTGATTATCATTAGGTAAACACCAGCTTTTAAATTGATTTAATAAAAAAGTGGTGGAACTGTGCCACATTAATGCGGGAGTCATTCAGAACTTTGCTGGTATTAGAGTTTGTTTGACATTGACAACGCGTGAATAGGTTTTATGGCCTTTGTTAATTTTGCAAGGTATGCATTTTATCCACTTAGCCAGTAATTTGATATTTTCATAGCGTTGGGGTATCGGCTCCCCATGATGACTGCTGTGGCCTATCCCTTGATCTTGTTTACGATCCTAGCGCTGCTGATTTCGTTGGCCAGTGGGAGTAATTTGATTTCGTTGGCAGCTCGTGTCTATTCGGACGACCTTGGTCTCTGTCCTGATATTCACATTTTACAGTTTAAATGCGTATTGAGACCGCTGTTGTAGTTAACTAACGATTATGATTGTCGCCAAGAGCCAAAGGGTATTACTTTGAGTTTCTCTGCGAAACTGTTGCATTTGGATTAGGAAATGTTGCGCCTGTGCCGAGGTATTTTGGGAAAGCTTTCGAGAATGCGGTTGCCTCGTTTAGGTGCTGCATCTTGGCCGGATCCTGTTTCCGTGCTTCTGCACATTTGTTACACAAGGTCTCGTAGAATGTAAATGTAGCATAGTTACATAGTTGTAATGGCATTGTAGTTGAAGTTGGGCTGAGCCTCTCTATTTTACGGTTTTTTGTATCTTCTTTACAGTATTGACGTCGTATCCATTAGATTCTTCCGACAATACTTTGCGATATGAACGCAAAAGGTGGGGAAAGTTGAGATCCATACTTTGTTGCTTCGACTGACTGGTACTGAACTATCAACGTCTTGATGAGCACACCAATAGTTACCACAGGCGTCAACAGGTCGAGGCAGGAGGGCGTATTGACCCGCATTCAGACTCTTTTAAACTCTTATTTGTGAAAATTGAAACTCAAGGCACTACCAAACGAAAAACACTTTAATGGAAGGTGGCAGTCTGTCTGATGTACTCTCACACTAATCCGAGGTTTTGCTATAAGTACATTTATCATTTTTTTCGTGCCTTCATGTGCCTTGCTGGTGATACCATGACAAGGTTGGAACCGCCCATTGGAACATTTGCTAAAACGGTATCGGAAACCAAATACCCAATTGAAGTCGTTTAATAAGTCAACTAATTTCTGCGATCATGTTTGGAGAACTATTTTTCTTTTCCTCAGGAAGCAAGTGGATAGTGATGCTGACATGATGCTAACTGAAGCCGAGTACTGCTTGGCAGCCCATTTGGCAAACAAATATGCCTCAACAGGTTTCAGTCTTCTCTCTTCGCAACATTTGGCACAGAAGCAATCAGCCCCACCTCTTTCAGCAGAAGAGCAAGCATCGCAATCAAACCCGAGTTCTCTATGTCACCGCTTGCGAAGACGACGAAATTCAAAACGAAATTGTCGAAATTCCCGAGAACAACATCAACGCAGCTGCAACTTTAATTACCTGAATAACGAGGAAGATGATAGTCATGATCTGTTGATCTCACCTGATTT